GGTCAGCACTGGGTTGGGATGTTTTCTTGATGTGCACCTAACCTTTATATAAAACTCTCTCTTATACATGAGTTTCTGTGGATTTGTTTCTCTAAGGTACCCAGACTAACACAGCATACATTTTAGCTAATATCTTACTTTTTCCTATTTTAATTAAGTGATCCTCCCCCTGATCAACAAGATGCATTACTAGGCAGTCAATATAAGAACCCAAAACATCGTGCTTTATAAATGGCAAATTGTGACTTTGAGAGTCCATAGGACTGACTTGGCATGCATAAAAGATCAGACCACACTTGTTTTAACTGACAGATCAGGGCTGGGGGGATGGCTCTCTGAGGCTTTCAGATTGAGTTTTAATACAGCTCCTCCCCATCTCCACTCGTTCCTCAGCAGAATTCTGACTATTCCCACCCTACAGGCTCCTCAACCACAAGAGGTCATGCTTGCGTTTATTTGATAGTGTGTTATAAATACCACATTTTAATCATTCCCTGCTACTTTTCACCTGCATCTAATCTGAATGGTTTAGCGAAGCTGATACATTAACCTTTAGAAATGTACCAAACCCACCCAAAGCCCAGTTAGACTGTTCAGGCAGCAACAGCATTCTTTCTCTAGGTTTGAATTATGTCCCTTTTCCCAGAAGTCTCTAAACCTTTTGGAAGTGAATAATTTTCCAGGAGCTCACATTTTCAGTCAAGGTTCCCAGCATGGGGCCATGATAGATGTACTACTGGCCTCTCGAGTGAGATCACTTTATAATGCAGTGTGAGTATGTCACTCTTTCCCTAAGTCATTCAGCCAGGTCTCCATGGGGAGGCCAAGTGGTTTCAGACAGTAAGGCAAAATGCATTCTTCATCAACACAATTGCATGAAGGCACTTACATTGAAGTCGTAGAGCACACCAAAGTTCCCTGCGGATGTCTCCTCGGCTCTGGGAACGGTCTTCCTAGGCATACTGCCGTAAGGCAAGCCCCAGAGGTACTGCGTGGAGAAATAAGAGAGTATTGAACAATTGGCAACCCAGTCTGAACCACTTGTGAGGTCACACATGATGAGGGAGAAAGGGGGAACAGATGACAAGGTCTACATATGGCCTCCTCCCTGGGGGATGGACAGCAGAGAAGTGGGGAAGAGAGATGTTGGATGGGATAAGATATGATAAGATAATAATAATTTATAAATTATCCAGGGTTCAGGGGGAGGGGAAGCAGGGGTTGAAATGAGCTGACACCAGGGGTTCAAGTGGAAAGCGGGTGTTGTGAGAATGATGAAGTCAACATATGTACTAAGGTGCTGGACACAAATGATGTATGTACGGATTGTGATGAGTTGTATGAGCCCCTAGTAAAATGATTATTTAATTTAAAAAATGTAAAAAAAAAAAACCTCTTCTGAAGCTTTTCCATGGTGACTCTGTGGGCCTCCATGGGGTTCCCATTTTATGGGCATTGACTATAAAAACAGAGTCAAGAACAAAGGGAGTGCAAAGGGCTGGACTTCCAAAGACAGCAGACGGCTAGCCGTTGGGTCAACCACAATCCCCGGAAGGCTTTCTGAGAAGCCCTACTACCTACTACCAGCTCTGAAATGGTCCCACAGGGGAGGTCTGGCAAGAAGCAAAGTGAGCTTGCAGAAGACTGCAGTGCTCAAGAAATCCCTTAGGGATGGGACGAGCACATGAAGTCTCTCTTTAGTGTCAAGAAGAGAGGATTCAAGGGCACCACTTGTGCAATTTAAGGGTACCCACAAGGAGTGGAAGGAGTGTCTGATTAGGATATCCACTTTAACACTAACTCGGGTTTTCTGTCTGGAACGTGTGCTGCCTTTATAGGAAAGACGTTTGCTGGGGATAATTGTATTGGGGAGTAGCCAGGCTGTGAGGGGCTAAGAACAAGAACTTGGAAAAATACATCCCGCCAACCTCTGCCAGGAGTCAGAACCAACCTAGCAGCACCTGGTGGGAACCCCCAGGCTGGGCATTTACCTTCCTTTGCAGACAGATGCTGCTCCTTCTGTGAACCCCAAAACTTCCCTTTCATGAGGGGGAGAGGATAGAATGAGTCCAGTTGAAGGCTGGGTACACAGCGTGACAGAGCAGGACCTGGGTTTTAGCATCTACTCCTCGCTGCACTCAAGCTGCGTGACCTGACAGGGAAGACCTTGGATCCTTCGCAGTTTCTGTGACTGAGCAAAGAGAAGGTGGCTCTGAACCTACTTTCAAGCCCCAAAGTTGGGGACCAGAGAGGACAGAGGTCTCCAGCTTGTCAACAGGGCTTGGGGCAAAAGGCCACCTGCCTCAGAGGAATGCTGAGTGAGGCTGTTGGGTAGAGTTAGGTGTAGCCTTTTTGCAAGAAAATGACTGTCCCCCTCACCTCGCGAGGTTCCACAGAAGTAGTATATGTGGTACCTACACCCATTTGGTTCTCTGGATGGAATTAGTAGTCACCAAGCAGAAAGCAGGATGCCTGTCAGGACCCAAAGTCAATGTGCTTCTAGTTCTAGGAATCCCTTCTATGTAACATATGTGAGGTAGTTAGTTTATTGTGCTAACCTGGCCAATAAACACATATGGGATTAATTGAAGGGCGGAGGGATAAATGGCTTGGTGAGCCTCGCCTTTCGAGTTCTTGGGTCTCTTGCTTTGTGACAGTCGGACCAGGGTGCAGCTGCCTTAGCCGTTTCCCTGCTTCACCCGGCAAGGCTCACTTCCTGCAAGACGTCCCCGAGGAGAAAGTCCCCATGGACCTACCCCGATGCAGCCCTGGGTGCTGGAGCAGCCGTGTGGAGACCCCTGCCAGCGCTGAGATGCTTACAGGTTCACTGATTTGGCTTTCCTCCTGCAGTCAGGGTCATTGTGTGTGTTTTGTGAGATGGAGGAGGATTTTGTGGATTTGGGTCAGACATATGGGTAAATGGGTTAATGTTGGACTTGTGGGCTTGGGCAGCACTGGGTTGGGATGTTTTCTTGATGTGCACTTATCCTTTGTATAAAACTCTCTCGTATACATAAGAGTTTCTGTAGATTTGTTTGTCTAAAGTACCCAGACTAACACAATATGTAAGACACTGTAATTTCATGGAGGTCCAATGAATTAGCTACAACTTTTCCTTACCTCCACATGGAGGCAACCTGGAAGGGGAAAGTGTGAGTGCTGTGGGGTAAAACATTTATGTCCTGCTCTGACCCTCAATGCTGTCACAGTGGCTGAGCGAAGGAATCGAGCAGGGTCAGGTTTCCTGGGAGTGAGAAGCATGAACAAAGCTGGGTTGAGTTTAAAATAAGGGAAACACACTCGTTCTGCTGGATCCCATAAAACATTTCAGAAGGCAAACTATTCATCATCTTCTCCGAGCCAAGTGCCCTTAGGAAGACCAGAATTATCTCAGAGGTTATAGGAAAATGGCTTTACAATGCAAACTCTTGAGAGCAAAGATGGAATCATGCATCCTAGTCTCATGAAGCTTTAAAAACAACAACAACAACAAAATCTCACTCTGAGACATGTTAAGTCACAAAGCTCTCTATGATTACGGGGGTTTGGGGTGGGACTTTGATAACTTATCACATAATTTGTGTGCTTGTCTGTGTGTGAAGGTCAGTAAGTAGAAGTGAAAATGCTTTACACTCTTAAAAGCTAAAACATGTTATGAATATAGGACATTATATGCCTGTAAGATATGTATGTATGTTACATATATACAAACATATATATAGTATGCCGCTGCTGATGATAGCGATTATATTGGGGGAATTGATACACAAATTGTACTGATTTGAAGCTATGAGGGTGTGGCAGTTACATAACCTCATGTCAACTTTAGGTGGACTCTAGCCTGTCAAACAGGTCATAGTCAATCATGCCTCTGTGGGCATGGCCTTCTCCTGAGGATTCTGTGAACCTCTTCCTCCCTGGTGGTGGGACACTCTCTCTTTTCCTTTCCTGCTGTTGAGACACTCAGAGAGCTGGAGGAGACATGTGGAGACCCATGACAGCATTGAGATGCTTCTACTGAAACTGGATCCACAAGACCTTCTACCCACTGACCTGTGATCTTCCTGCATTCAGCATCATTGCATGTGCTACATGAGTCTAAAGAGGAATTGATGGACTAGTCTTGGACACATGGGCTAATATCGGACTTATGAACTTGATCTGGACTGGACTGGGATGTTTCCTCAATATACAATTGCTCTTTTATATAAAGCTCTTTCTTATACACATGAGTGTCTATTAATTTGTTTCTCTAGTCAACCCGGACTAACACAGGAAGATAAAGTATCAATGAAAAGATAAAGTGTCAGTTTTTTGTTGTATTAATGGCTCTGATGTCCTAATATCGGAAAAGGGCCTTTTGTATATTAAATAAAGACCAATTCACTTTATCCAATAGAGACCCAGAGTCCAAGTTTTTGACTTTATGAGTGGATGGACAGCCCTGCTCTTTCTTCTTGGTGTTAATCAACCTTGGTCCCACACCAGCTCAAAACTGTGCTTTCTTCACCAGCCTGGACCCATGAGCTACATTACTCCTCTCCCTGATTTTGATGTCAAGAGACCCACCGCCCGTGTATGTGCTTGTCTTTGTCTGTGTTTGGGGCATATTACTTTTTTATCTTGGAGGAAAATTTTCTTACTTTGTGTTTCGTCACTATACAAAACCCAGATGACTTGAGTCGCATTAAGAAGCAATTTTGGGGTGGGGCAAAATACACACAAATCAGAAGGTGTCAAAGCCTTTTTCTGGAGCAATGGTTCTTACCATTTGAGCACTTATAATCCAATAGAAGTCACTAACTCTAACCACACAAAAATGAATATTAAAACATACATACAATTTTTAATAGGTGGTATATCACAAGGGTCACAATCCCTTGGAGCAGCGATTAGGCTTGTTGATTCATGGGTATCATTTTGAAAGTTAACCTATATATTATCCAAACCAATTTCTTTCAAGCTGATTTTGACTCATGGTGGCCCCATGTGTATCAGAATAGAACTGTGCTACTTAAGGTTTTAATGGCTGAATTTTTAGAAGTATATCACCATGGCTTCTGAGGTATCTCTAGATGGTCGAGCACACTGTCCAGTTATACCACCCAAGAATAATCTATATTAATCGATAGAGATAAATAGATGTATATGAAATACGAGGTTGTATCATCCCATAAAGAATTATAACCTCAGAAATCATATATAGAGTTGCTATGAGTTGGAATAGTATCATGGACTGTCAGAAGAACAAGCAAATCTGACTCAAAATAGAATGTTCACTATAAGCCAAGATGCAATATATTTATATATGATGCTTGGGAAATAAATCTA